CCAGATCAGGAGCTTAAGGAAAGCTTGAAGAAGCTTGCTGCCCGGCAGCTTGGAGGCTGCTCTTGTCGGCGTAACCGTCTGAGATTCCCCAAGTGCGACGAGGTCCGCCTCATTGTCCCCGGAGATAGAACGAATCCTTCCGGGCGAGTGCCATACACAAGGCGGGACGATCGCAGCCTTTCATGGACTAGGGGACATGGCAACGTCACAGCTGGAGAAGACCCAGATGAGAGAAACGGCACCCACACGAAAAAGTCAGTTGGACTGGCCGATCTGCTGAAAAATGCGATGCAGTCCTGGGCCTCAAGCCCTGCATCGGCATGCTGAGTAAGCTCAAAGCCCCGACTACCCTTTACGTCTTTGTTGGAGTTCATTGTGAACTGTGGGCTGCTAAAATCAAGATCTCGCCGCGCCAGAGCAAACACAACAATCGAATGCAGCACAGAATGAGAGCTGAAGATAAAGTGCCGCTCATTTGCAATGGGGATCCTGAGCCTGGAGCCAAAAACACGAGCAACAAGCATCCTGCAAGAAGATTCCTGCAATCACGGGCAGAGCGACCTGGCCACTCCGCAAGGGACGCTGCAGTGCGGCATGCAACAGGTCGGCCTCGGAGCGACGGTGTCATGACTCTCTCATAGCCCAGGGTTCAAGTCCTGCCTTGTCTCCACCGGCCACCTTCAGCCATTGCCCTTTGTGCTTGGCAAAGTCTTCGCCTCAGAAGACCGTCCAGAAGCCTATATCCCGTCTCTCGAACCAGGGACAAGCAGAACTCAGAACGGGATAAGCCAAAGCACAGAAATTGTAACATGCGAAGGAGATAGAGTCATGACATAGCTTTTCTCAAGACAAAAGGCGTGGCTGCATGAACCAACATACCATAAACACACAGAAGGCCCAGGCCGTCCACCGTGTCGACATGCAGACGGCTCTCAGTTCTGCAGTCTGGGCGCAAACTGCCAGAACCTCCGCCGGCTTCCCCTCGAGCACGGAAGCCTTGAAAAAACAGAGAGCTCTTTGCAGAGGCACAGCTCTCGACCCCACGGCGTCTCTCACTGGAGGCCTCCAAGAAGTCGACAAGCTTAGCCACCTTCTGGTGCCTCTAACGCGGCTGTCAACACGGCTTACCTTTGCTACTTTGGCTGCCGCTGAGGTCACAACGCTGGGTGGAGTGCTCGCCTCACCGGAATCGGCTCGCCTAGAAGCGCCACTTCCATCTGCCAGGGCAGCCAAGGCTAGAAAGTACTTCTGAGGTCTTCGACATGCCTGAAGGCAGCGCAAGGGAAACCACGAGCATAGACTGCGTCGCACAGACGCTTCTCGTTCAACGTCCTCGTTTCGCAACGAGTGCTTGGATGACTTGTAGTGCCGTAACGCCGACAAGAATATCTGAAGAATCCGAAGGATGCATGCAGGTCCTTGCACCAGATGCTGTCCATCTGGAAGACACCGTATGGTTCAACTTGCTCGAACGATCCCTGTGACAAGCAACATTAACTCGCTTAAGCTTGCATGGTGCTCTGACAGTCTGCAAAGCCCTGTGCCGGCCTCCGCCCAATACTCAAACAGGCGCCAAAGTCCTTGGCGAAAGCCAGCCTGGCCGGCAGCAAAAAACAAGACAAGTCGTGTCCGGTAACCCCGGTTGCTCGAATTTCTTCCAGCTGCTGCCCCCCATGACGATGTCACAAGGGACGCAGGTCGTGTGTTGGGCTCGCCTTCCACATGGTCCACACGAGCATCGGGGCCTCGAGCAATGAACAGACAGAATTGGATGAAGCCCGAAGCCCTAAGGCACTTGATGTTTGGGCCTGCAGGCTAGAACAGCGGGACTCGAAATGAAGGAAGCATGTGCTACTCGGAAGTTTTGGTCAAGACTGACAACATCTGCTTGTAAGACTGTATGCTGGTGCTGCAACCTGACAGAAACATCTAAGTTGAGCGCGCTGGCATCATCCGAAAAGGCATCCGGCCGACGGACCACCTGCACGCCGAGTCATGCGTTACTTCGAGCATCATCGCTGAGCAGTTCGATTCAGCTCATAGGCGCAATACATCGCAACGCTGTGGTCCCAAAAATGCGTGCACCGAAAAGATGAAGACTACAACGCTGGTGAAATACATCTGGCTGCCCTGAAAAAGACATATAGGCTTCCAGTCAGTCCGGCAGCCGGCAGCCCCTTCATTGCATTCGGAGCGCATCGCACTGTAGTCTTGTACTACCCGTCGTCTCTATACCCACGCAAAATGCCTGCCTCTGCATCGACGATGCGGATTACCTCCCACTGTATTACGCGACGGAATACGTAAGGTTTCCAGAATGTATAGTGCGTAGCAAGCCAGGCTGGACTGGCAGGAGGTCTCCCTTCCCAGCCTGATCATGATGCGGCGACAATGTCGCTGGCCTCCATGGTATGTTCGTCGTGTCCTCGCAACTTCTGTCAACGCTTGTCAAGCGTGGCTCGGCCTTCCTGTCATCTGCATGCTTAGGACCCCGCAGAAAAAAAACATCTTACATTGGCACTTTTTCGTAAACTGCGGTCTGCTGACAAGGCACTTGTCTAAGCTAAGTGTTGACGAAGACCAACAATGTCACAAACTCTGCAAATGGCACTGAGATTTCGTTTATGAGTATAGGGGCACTGAGATTTCGTGTATGAGCATAGGAGGTGGGTTTGCTCCGCGCCTGTCTGCGTTTGCGGGGTGGGGCTTAGGAAGGGACACCACATTGACGGCATCGCTCCACACAGTTCGAGAACCACGAAATCCTGGGGCCCCATCATCGCGTGTTAAACACTGTTGAACACGGCTGTGCGCCAACATGTTGGTCCCGTCGGGTGCTCGTTCCCGGAGGTCACTTTGCATGTGCATTCCTGCACGAGCCATCTTGCGCGGCGTGGGACCTCCAACATCCTCCACACCGCTGGGAGTTGGGAGCACAGGTTCAATATTATTTGCCCGTGCCGGCAGTCCCCTTTGCCAGGGTCCCCATAGCGTCGAGTTGAAACCAAGTAGGAAACCGCGGAAAATTCAGGTGATCTTTCAAGACGCACCTGACTCTCCAGTCCAAAACGCTCCTGAACGCTCGATTGCCGTTGCTTCTGACTCCTCGCACAAGCAGCAGCATCCATCAGCACCTGCCATGTGCGCTCGCGTGGAGACTGCTCCATTATGGAGTCAAACACTCAACATCGTAGAGTCGTAGATAGAGTTCATCTTGCAGGAGACCGGAATCCGTCTTCGCCTCATGCAGGGAGGCTGCTCTGCCGAGTCACCACGCTGCATTTGCCAACTCCTGCGGGGAACGTCAGCTTCTCAGCTTCTCGCCCTGTCCCTCTGCCGTGGTGAGCATTCAGACGCTCAGAAATGAAGGGACCATCCCATGTGAGAGAGCTTGTACGAACGAAAGGCCTGCGCCCCAAACTCCGTGATGCCGTCAAGGGCTTGCTGTCCCGTTGCCCATGAAAACGGCGCAGTTCCCAACCTTCGAGGAGTGATGTGGTAGAGTCGTTCACTCATGTCGACTCTTCCACCGCATCCTGGCATCCGACATGGATCCGAGGTTCATGCTGGGATTTGCCAAGTCCCCGCATGCTGTTCGCCAGGTTTTGTGCATCCCGTCCTGGCCATCGGAGAACTCACAAAGTGTGCCCTTGACACTGGGGCAATGGCTCTTTCTTCCTCGGATGCTGCGGATGCAGGCCGTCGCCAAGACGCCCATAGGCCTGGCTAATTAGTGTTCATCGGCGTTCATGCGCAGGAAGACGAGAAGCTGGACCGCCTCTCGTCGGCGGAGCTCAGAATGGTCGCCGCCCGCGCCGTGTTGGACCTCGGCGCTCATGCCAGCGGCTCTTCGGTTGCCAAACTTTCATTGCCCTCAGCTCCAGGCAGATGTTGCGGACTGAGGCCTTCGATTCTCCTGACAGAGGCCGCTTACGTTCAGTGCACCTGCACAAGCGCAAGAACTTGACTGTTGGCCCGGCAACCGCTTCCGCATCTGCCTTTGCGCACAAAACGCGGGCAGTCTAGTTGGAGCTTCCTGCTTGCAGTCACATCTTGTTGGTGATTCCAGCATGCATTGACACGGCAAGATCTTGTAAGACAAGAACCCAAACACCCCCCACGCAGAGTCCTCTTTGACGAAAGGAGTCGCTGAGCACCACATCAAAATCGAAGTGTCTTGTGCTGTTGGCTCGTCTTGCCTGGCAGCTCCGCTCTTCAGCTCTCGTTTGGGCGAGGCGTTTCTGAGGCTCTCCGTGTCATCTGCACTGGCCGTTGGTCATGAAAGCGTGAGCTTGATTTGGCATCTCTCTTGCATTTTCTTGCATTCCAGCAGCGGGTGAGGCCATGCATCATATCATCATGTTCATGAAAACGTGCCTAGTTCTAAGCTGTGAAAACGACCATGGGATCTCGTCGCCGGGACTAGCACCGTGCATCAACAACCGAGTCTCGAGACCCGTTGCTTGCATCTCAAGGAGGCAACTGAAGCATGGTGCAAGTTGGCGATGTTCAGCGAGAGACCCTACTAAATTTTCATGTCTTGGTTTCAGAGGGACTGACAAACGTCCGTTAGACTTACGTGATCCCGTAGACTTTGTCCTAGGAATCCATCTCCAGTGCGCCTCCGGAAAGCTTCTTGGCTCGCTGCAGCTGTCGACGGCTCGTGCAGAATCTCGATCAAGGGGGCAGCACAAGGCGAGTAGCTTCGTCAAGTCGAACCGAACAAGACCGGAGAGCATGCTTCGTGTCCTGCATGGTGCCGAGAGCCCACAGCGTGTTGGACAAGGCCTGGAGCCAGCTGCTGTCAGTCTCGCGCGACTTCGCCGAAAATGATGAATACTCGTGTCTGAAAGACAGCTTCTCGGAACTGCAACAGCGCGCCTAGACGAGAGTTTGCTCCATTTACGTAGCTCCAGTCAACCATCCGAGCAGCCCTCATGGTGAAACATGTCGAAGTGCAGTATCTATGATGAGCCCTCTTGACTCGCCCTGCCTACGGGCTGCAAGCAAGCAGAGCTTCTCAACACGTGCCTGTGTGTCTCCACGATGCAACTTGTTCGCTGCCTGCCAGCAAATTCTAACGATCTGAAACATTTACCCGATGACGATCTTTTCTTCCTGCACAATCAAACTGGGAGAAATGCAGCTCACAAAACAAGTCTCCGAAAAGCTGGTCCTCCTCAGCAGCCCTTCCCAGTGGCGGCAGGTGTTGGAGAGCCAGGACGGCTGACCTTTACTTCATGTAAGAACGAGGCACATGAGATCACATCACACGAGGCTCGCCTCCAGCATGTGTTGGAGGGATCACGCGCTTCGTGTCCAGGCAAACGGTGAAGAGCCTGTGACAACATGGATTTTCAAGTCTGGGAGCTTACTGTGTTGGCCGTCTCTGAGAGCTTGGCAGCTGCCGACAGAGCTCTGACCAGTGGTTCGCGGCAAAGCTGAAGCCGCCCTACCAGGTTACCGAGGTTGCTGCTCCAGCCCAGAAGAGCACAAGTGCGCCTGCCGCTCGAACAGTGTTCACTAACTCCTGCAAGTCACCAATGACAAGCTCAAGGCAAGAGCATCGAGTTAGCGTTAGCATGAGGCCTGGGTTGGCCACCTGTACAAGCCTCTCAGCGCTGACTTAACTGCTGCTTGCATCAGCCTCGGCAGGGCTGGAAGACTAGAAAACCAGCAATTTGCCAAACCATCACTGCATGTGCCAAGCTCCTTACGGGAGGTGGAGCAACTCGATGGACGCCTGGCGAGACGGAGCAGAAGAGACCCGTTTGGCTCTTCCTTCAGACTTCACGCAAGGCCCGAACAAGGGCTTGGGCTCTGTTTGAAGGCGGCTGTGCGCTGGAGTGATGGATGCGGCAGATCGCCTCGGCTTTACGATTGGGCGACCTCCACGCGTGAGCAGCATACAGTGCGCCTCTGCTGCGATCATGTGGTAGGAAGGCATGTCAACTGCCTGTGGTGTCGCAGATCCCCGAACCGTGTTGGACAAGTTCTGCACATTCGACTCCTTCACCTGGACACGTGTTGCAGTTGCAGGGATGGTTTGGGACGGGTTTATTTGCCGGGTGACGGGGCCTGTGCGTGGAAAGCTCATTGGGTGGCCACGGCCAGCGGTTGGTGCTGCAGCGCCGAGGCGCCCAAGGCCCAAGCCGCATTCGCCAAGTACCGCGGAGACGCCTGGATTTCAAGAAACAAACATCATTGCGATTGTTACGGAGTTCAAGGAAATCCGACATTCTGACCGGCCAGGCCTAAGTGTAGACCTCTGCTGCGACCTCCTGGATGAGTTGCACAACGCCGGGAGAGTGGAGCCAGGTCGCTCCATCCTCCGCCTGGCACCATAGAATGCCGACAGACCACACTGACATCGTTCTCTGCTCGCTCGTTCTCTTTCCGCAGGGGGTTGGATCTGAGGCAGCCCTCTCTTGAGGTGCAGTGCACTGCTAAGTCCTGTGTTAGCTCGGCTGGGGACAGTTCTCCCCCTCAATGTTTCGCGCAGATCTTGTAAACTCTATCACCCTCTGTCCTTGCGTCCTTGCCTGCTTGGGTATCGGACGTGCCCTCTCCCCATCCAAGGTTGTTTGGAGCCTTGGTGTCCCATTCACTATCACCATCACTGGATGCTCGGAGCCAGGTTCCTCGACCAGGTGTAACCAGCGAGGAGGGACTGCAATCCTCGGGTCCCTGTAGCAATTGCAGCGGACGGCTGCTCAAATCTCTGTCTCCTATCTCCTCTTTTGGGGGCCCTCTCTGAAGCCCTACAACACCTCAAGCCTTTGGGCATTCGGCCTTGGCAAGGCGGTGCAAGGCTGTTCCACGATGCACGGCACCCAGCTCTGGGGCATGACGCCGCAGTTCCAAGAGCAGCTCCGGCACGGAATCCTGAGCTCGGCGGGTGGCTTCACTGCAGCCGTCCCCAGCTGGCTGCAGAAAGCAGTCCAGGCCTTCGACACCAGCAAATCATTGAGGCGCCGGGCGCGCCGCTCCTGCAGCTAAAGCTTGTCGGAAGTCACAAGAGGGCTTCGAACATTAGGCTTGATTCCAAGCAAACTCAAAGAGCAAGGACAAAACAATCTTGACAAAGGCAGCTCACACTCAATTGTTGAAGCATGTTAGGGCACCGAATCCAAACTTTCCGCCCGTCCTCGGCTGTCAATCCGTGACGGCTTCCACGAAGCTGTTCAGCACCTCAAAACACTCCCCGGTGCCATTGGCAGCATCGAGATGATTGACTCCGATTGACCTTGCATGCTGGCTTGCTTTCACGGACGAGATCCCTGCGCATGGCTTGCTGAAGCGCATCGAATCACACAGCGAACCCATCACTCCCGGTCAAGGTGCATCTTAACCCGCAAGGATGCGGCAAGTGATTGGGGTGAAGGTGGATCAGGTGCTTACTGTTCCTGCGGATGCCACCTCTCGACATGCTCATGATGTGCAGGGATATGCCACCTCGTTCTTTCGAGGTCTCTTCCATGAGCCGAGTTAGGCAGGAAAAGCTCACTGCGTTGAATGCAACGTAGACAGACGCAGACCCTGCAAACCGCTCATCGTGCAGGGCAGTGGATTTGGTGCATTTCACGGCTGGCAGCGGTTGAGAGAGGTGACTCAAGATGGAAACGTGTCTGCCTTTGCCGGCTGCACCCGGTCAACTTCACTTTACCACATGACTCTCTTTCAGCCCCTGAGGCCCTGTCATCAACTGTTGCTGCAGCTACAATGAGGAGTGACTGCAGCCTAAGCCCGGAAGCGCACTGTCCCCATGTTCCTCAGTGCAGCAATACTGAGAGAGAAGGAATGATATGTGCATGTGCCAACACTGCTTGCACCACTTCTTGCAAGCCAAGCTTCCTGAAACAATCCTCGCCGTTGGTGAGGCCGCAAAAAGGACAGCTTCGCGCCTCTTAAAGCTCCCTTGTTTGAGGAGCAGGGCACGTCGCTGGCGTGAGCTAAAGAGCGAAACACACCTGATGGGCAGCGTTTGAGTTTGAATACCGCATGATGAACCCCGGTTGTACTGCGCCCTGTTCTTCCAACAACCACTCTTGCTGCCCATCGGATGCATAAGCATTCCGCGGGTCCGACAGGGTCACGAGAACATGCACGCGTGTAGAATTCTAAAACGAATAGCTGCCTTGTACGGACCCCGGGACCGACCCAGCAGTTGACATGACAATTCCACTGAGCACTGCTACAGGGTCCACGCAGTCATGCAGACTGCAGACTTGTCGGGGTGGAGTCTGGTTGGGTTAGGTAGGCCCTTTGTAGGTTTAGAGCCCAGGGTGGCGTGAACACCATGTGCACTCACAGCCGGGACGAGCTCAAGAGCTCAACATTTTTTCCTTGGTGAGGCATCCACAGCACTGAATGGGCTCATGACTCGAACACGTGCTGCAAATAAGAGATTCGACTAGATGAGGTCCATTGCAAGCGGTGCAACTCAGAAAATGCTAGTGACGGAGAGGATTCATCACAAAGGACACACAACTGTCGTGCAGATGCCATCAAGCAGCAATCTTTTTCTGCTGCTTCTCGCTGAAGCTTGAGGCAGCACCTGCATTTCGAGTGGATCCAAGCTCGTATGTCTGTACATCAACACCATGCAGAGGTGGTGTGGCTGCTTGCACTCACGCATGACGCGTATCTGCCGATCTTTGATAATAAGCCCTCGTTCGTGTTCCGGGCTAGATGCTTGCGCACGCATCCATCTACCTACCTTTCTAGCCCTTCCTGGGCACTGTGTGAGAAAGCAGGCAAGTCATCCAGGAAAGTATACCAGTGCTGAGGCAGGTGCCAACGAGGACGTTCTGTGGGAGCGATTTGAAGATCTCGCACGATCGAGATGCAGGCAGGATGCACATTCCGCGACAGCAAGTCCGTGACAAGTTCGCTGCCGTTCTTGGGCTCCCACTCTCAGAACCTTTTCGTCGCTCTCTTTGGTGCAAATTTCTGGCGAGGGCACATCAACATGGAATGAAAGAAGCAAAGAGCTCACTCTTCCATCCTTGCACATTGGCCTTCTTGCTTGTAGATCTCAGCCAAGAATGCCAGCACTTTCCTTAGCTATGCGCATTTCAGCATGGTCTCACCGCCTTGTGCTTGCATGACCTTATTGGGGCTTCGACCCCAGATTTCGGTTGTCTTGCCCCAAAATTCCCTGCTGAAGCCAGGGAGTTCAACAAGCTTGAAGGCGGTGCATGAGCATGACCTGGTTCTGAGCAAGGACCATGTCGATGAGTTTGTCGTGAACCTTTTTGGCCTGGCAGCGCGTGGCATCAAATGGTCGAGTCGATTCCAGTTGTAATTAAGGGCACGTTCAAGACTATCTTGATCCACTCTTGCTGGTTCTTTTGGTCGTGTGCGTCGACCCGGAATCGTCATGTAAAAACAACACCGCCACGCAAAACACCCTGACAGTTCAAGACGCGACTGACAATGCTAGCCACAAGTCATCGTTTCCAGAACTGCGCATGCCTCGTCGCAATCATCTCGGAGGGGTAGCTTTGAAAGGATCAAGTCCCCTGCCTGAGGGTAAGGAACTGGGATCCGTCCCCCATGAGGCCAACCAGACTGGGCAGAACACCTGCACATCCGGAGGGCACAGCTGGGCCTTGTCCTGGTGTCAAGTTCAAGACATTGCTGAGACAGTGTGAGACAGTGTCACCGAAAAGCTGCAAAACAGTCCTTCAGCAAGGACAGGAGTGCAGCTACCTGACGCGGTGGCTGTGCAATCCCATTCCAATCATGGCAAATCTGCCAGCTTTCAAGGGGTCCCGGCTGCATTGTCCATGGCTATTTTCGCTTTCTCATCCTCGCGACAAAATGCATCGCAGTGCTTGGGTGACTTTCTCAGTATCACTGAGGCACCCACTCGCTTCTTCGGCTTTGGCTTCCCGACTACCATGGCAACTCTTTTGAAGGCCTCAGGCGCCGCCTGCAGAGACAACACACTCTCAACCCAATGTGGGAGCACGCTGTCAATGAGTAAATGCGCGTCATCAATAAACTGAGGCAGCAAGCACGACACACTGATCTTTCTGTGCAGGTTGTTACGGCTAGGATGGCTCCGTCGTGCTTGTCTCTGGACGAGGCGCATGCTCTTGAGCCCCCTGTGATCTACAGCTTATGCCCCAGCTAACAACCCCATAGAACCCTGCAAATCCCATAACCCTGTTGCGCTTGTCAGCAGGGGTGCTCAGGAAAGGATCGTAAAAACCATACCTTCAAGCAACAAGACAGAGTGGCTCTACTTGGAGGTTCGGTTTGTGAAAAGATGTGCCAGGAGTACATGGTTTCCTGTTGCTCGCCTAGTCTGCATTAAGATCCTCTTTAGCTACACAAGAACTCAGGAGCTTACTGCAAGTCAAGGATCCTTATCAAGGACAAGCAACAAACGAGTCGAAAAAGCAGTAGCATCTCCCAAAGCCTCTGCAAACTTTGCAAGCGGCGCAGCCAGGTTCACCGCGTACGCTGCTGCAGTCCTTGCTTGCCAACAACGATGGAGAGAGCTGACTTGCGGAAACCAGGCCGCTCGGTGTCCTCGCATCTGGATCCTCGTCATGGATCGACTCGAAGATCTTGGGCATGAAGATGGGCCAAGCACTCTGTGAGTGCTCTTTCCTGCCATTCGGGTGCATTTGCGAAACGCATGCTTTATTCAAAACGCACAAACCTGACTGAGGCAATGGCAAGTGATCAAGGAGATCGCAAACCAAGTATAGGCCCAACACCTGCCCATCAATTCTAGTATAGCTGCAAGTTTGAACGATGTTAGGAGAAAACTAAAGCTGATAACCGATCTGCAACAGAGCCTTGTTCTCCTTGGTTGCTACCTGGCCCGCCCGCATGTCAATGTATGTGCGGTTGTCGGTTCTGTGTTTAATTCGCCAAGACCGGTTGTGCACAGCTTGTGCACAGATGCTCAGGCAAATGCCCACTGCTGGATGCGCTCAGCGCAGCCGGAGAGGCAGGGAAGGAACTGCTCGGGCGAGACCTTCAAAAATCCAGCCGTCACGTTGACATAGACTGCACAGGCAAACAACAACGCCTTCATCATGGCTCCCAACACCTCCTCGTAGTTTCTTCGAAGCTGGTCCTGGCTGTCGCAGCGAGAACGAGATCGGACGCCTCTAGCGAAGGGCGGCGGCGGCCAGGCCTCCTCTGCGGTGAGGTCGTGCTCGTCCTCGTCTTCATCGGCGGCATGGAGCTCTTGCGGCAAAGCACTCGCCTCGAGACATGTTCTGACGCGTGCCATGTTTCTGTCGTCAACTCCACGCTTCCGCCGGATGCTTCGCAGAAGCACAAGCCTCATGTTTCTCTTTGGCTTGCTCCTTGGCATGTTGGGCACCTCGGTGGAAGTGGCTAGGGGCGCTTCCATCAGAACACGGAGATTCGCTGAGCCTTTGACTTCTCTGCAAAGACTGGTCCAGGAGTGTGAAGATACTGCCAGAGAGAGATTGCGCGGCTCACACCCGACGCCTCGTCACAGATCCCAGGCCTGGCGGTCAGCTTCTGGACCTCATCGCTACCGAGGACACCAGGACCAACCTGATCACAGGACTCCTAGAACTTCCGCCGAGTTCGTCGTGAAAGGACTCTGCAAACTAGTAAGAGGAAGGCATTCTTGATGCACTCGGCCACACCAGAGGAGATCTCTTGCAGATGCTCAGCGTCCTTTCACTCGTCTGTTCAAGCATCTCCAGAGCTTGGAGCGTGGCAGAAACCCAGATGGCCTGGTATGTCTGCAACTGGTGGAAGGCAGCCTACCAGACCACGGTACCAGTGTTGTGGAGAAATTACCAAAAATAGCGCGGTCCGCTTTGCCTCCAGGCCCTTCTGCAGCAGTTCCTTGGCCATGGCCTCGGCATGCAAAGCCAAAGTAAGTCAATGTGTCACTGGCTTCAGAGCCGGTTTTACAAGAGCCTAAACAGCGACTGCTGTTGGTGTCTTTTCTCGGTGCCCTGCATTCGGCTGGCCTCTCTCCTCACACAGAAATGGCGATGCAACTGCACTGGCCTAGTCCAGCCTCTAAACAGTCGACATGTTGTTCTGCAAAACGAAGGGGTTTCGAAAGTGCCATCAGCTAATCACCACCTCCAATTGGGATAGTGCAGGATGGGGAGAATCGGGATGTTGACCGAGGGATTTATCAAAAAGTCAAACTCCCTAACACTTGCCGTCTGAATGCAGCGGTCCCAAGGGGCTCTCCCCCCCTCCGTCCTGCGCTCCGAGCCTGGCCGCTTTGATCAGCAGGGACCAAACCTGCAAAGCAGTTCCGCGCACCTGAGCGGTAGAGCTCTGGAGGCACGGAGAGATAGAGGCGGAGACAGAGCAGCGACAGAGACAGAGAGCAGACGGTTGAGGGAGAGGAAGAATGAGGGAGAGAAAGAGCGAGTGAGAGGAGAGGTGAGTGCGTGTGCGTGTGTGTGTGTGTGTGTATGCGTGGAGGAACACACAACAGTTTGCTTGTCCATGTCCACGTTGACTAGATGACCGACCTACCCGCTTGAAGCACTGGACCCATTGCAAAGCATGGAGCCTCGTCGCAAAGCATGGATGCATCATCCGTGGCGGACAATAGAGGCAAAAGCACCTCTCAAGGTCAAGGTAGAGCGAGGAGCTTTGTAGGCACCATCTAAGCGGTCGCAAGGTGCACGAAGCAGCACGGACCTGGGCCGTGTCAGGAACGGCTTCGAAGTAACCTTGGCGCGCAGGCGGGCCAGGATGACAGTCCAAATTCTGCAAGCGGGGATAACGGTCCCTGATTGACTGCATAACAGCACCTGCCTGACTCCATCTCCGTCACGAAGGTATGCAGAAGCTGTACCTTGGATGCTACTGTAAGCATACATCGACAGCGACTAAAACACTGGCGCACACTCACACTGGGCTTCGGTATTGCCTGGAAAATTCAAAGACACGGCACGGACTGCATCATGTCGTGGAACTTCTCCGTGTGGACTCGGACTGTCTTGCCGTCGCCTGTCGAGACCTGTGCTACTTCCGGCATAGGTCAGCTGTTTGTTCCTGGCGTGCTCGTTCTGCCTTCACATATTCGTCCTCATCGGCTCCGCCCGACGCTGGCGCCTCTTTTTGGCAAGGCGGGTGTAACGTTGCTCTCGGACGTCGTAGAACGCATTGCGGTACAGCTTCATACAAAGCAGGATCCAATACACAATCAGACTTGTTTGCAGCCACTTAGTGGTGAAATACCTGCATAACGACGGAGCGGGAGGGAGCGAGAGAGAGAGAGAGAGAGAGAGAGAGAGAGAGAGAGAGCTGCCATACGCTATCCGTCTGCCATACAAGGTGCTCGAAACGGTCGTCAAGTTCATTGCCCAACAACAGACAGAGATGAGAGAAGAAAACTGCCGACAAAACCCGTGCAGATGTTGTGCTTAAGAAGCATCATCGTCATTACAAAGATAGAAGGAAAACTGACAATGAAAACACAATGCCAGTACCAGCAGCAGCAGCAACAGCAACAGTAGCAACGTACCATGATGCTGGTTCGCGTGACAGGTGTGGGCCGCGGTGTTTGTGGTATCGCACGTGCGGTGCTTTTTGTTGAGGGTGCTCGTGCTGATGACGGGGCTAGATAAGTAAGTGTGTAAATAGATATGAGGATATGCGCATACCTGCGTGTATGCATGTCTGTATGTATGTACGCATCACGCACGCGTGCATGCATGCGTATTCTATATACCTATGTATCTATGTCATTGTGTCTATGTAAGTTTGAGTATCTGTCCGCTGGCTGGTACTGCAGTTCTTCATTTATGCTTTCCGACTTCTTCAGTGAGTAGTTAGCTGCTTAGTTGTTAGGAGTATCAATCGTACCAAGACTGAACAAATGACGCGAGGGCTACGAGCCCCTCGAAGGCTTGCAGAGTTCGCTGGGCTGGTTTCGGAACGCTGACTGCATTTCTACACCTGTTGCATGGTTCAGGGTTCAGGGGGAGAGGGAGACTCGGCCACTAGCAACGCAAGATGCCTGCAATTGCGACATGCCTAGACAGCCTTGCATTCGTCGTTTGGACCAGATCCCCTTCCTGTGTTGAAGGCAATAAAGACGCTTCAGAGCTGGCCGCCGCCAAAGGCAGCACACAAAATCGAGAAAGCTGCGGGTCGGGAGTGCAAGAGGCCTCGGAACAAAAAACAACCCGATAACAAAATAGGGGTCAGAGCCGGATGCACCGATGCTACGAGCTTGCATTTCAAACACCCTTGTCGGAGTCGGTGGGCCGTGGGCCTGATCATGCAAGTCGTCCAGGCGAAGGTTCCTGCATCCAGGGCGGGTCTTGTCATGGACTCACAGATCCCACCAAGCCGCCTGAAGATTCCCGGCAGCAGCGGCTGCAAGAAAGGCTTGAAGTCCTTTCCAGTTCAGCTTGTGCGAAATGTTGAAAAGGACTTCGGCTGGACACCGCTCGAGAGGAGAGTTCCATGCTCTGTCCAGGCTCTCAGTGAAAAGGGGAGAGAGGTCCTTCTTCAGGCAGGTACAGATTCGCTCAGAGGCCTCCTTGATGTACCTGGCGGTATGCCCATGGCACATGGCAATGAAAGAACCGCATCTTTGCGCTCGAAGCTCAACTGCTGCCGGGCCAGCTCTCTCTGAACATCGTCAGCCTCGTCACCGGATCGAGAACAAGACAGTGGTGCGAAACAGGCTCACACAGGTGTCGGTGTCCATGCGGTTGTTGCCGCTGGCTGCGCAAACCCTTCAGTGTGTCTCTCTCTAAGCACAGGGCCTCGACCTGGGTGTTCATCATTGCCCCAATGGCTTCCCGCGCATCATTGAGGAACTTTTCCTTCAAGCACTGCAGCATGCAATCGATGCTCAGACCAAATTTGCAAACATGAACATGCATCTGGCCGTCCTTTCCCACCGCGATTCCAAGCCTGAGCACGCAGCACACTGCTCGCTGTTTGCCATGGAGCAGCCAATTGTGGATCGTATCTGCAGGGCAGCTGCCATGCCACAATCTACTTACATAGAGAAATCAACAAATTGAGTGACTGGCAGACGAGCATCCAGCATAAATATGACAATAGAAGCAGCCGAGGCTGGTGCAGCGACATGCACTCGAAAGACTTACCACGAAGTCGGTTCTCCTCAGAATTCACTTCTCAGCCTTCTTGCCCAAAACCATCAGACAACGACGACAGTGCCTTCTTGCTGGTGGCGGTCATCACAAAACTCTTCAACATTGGCATGATGCTGTCATAGTACTGGACAAAGTCCTTGGACAAGCAAGGGACTCGCCTCGGCCTGTGGTGTCAGCTTGAACGCGGCTGCGATGGCACCTTCTCCATGACGCCTGCTATTACCGCGATGGAGGTGATGGCCTCCTCCCGAACCTGCCGTCGAGTACTCACTTCCCCCTGTACCACTTCAGCTCGACCTTTCCGACCGCAAGAGGAGTGGACGACTCGCACAAGCTGGGACCCAGGCGCCGCGATGTTGCGAGTTTTGCAGCTTCATGACCTCGTCTCGATGCGGCCCATACGGCATTGCAGCGTCACTTCCACCTGCTGCCTTGTGAGTACCGGTTGTAAAAATGCTAGGCGGTCTGCCAGCTTCTCCATCAAAGGCCGTGCATACCTGGCATGAGCCCAAGCAGAAGATCCAAAAACACTCTCGACGAGGCTGTCGGATACGGACTCGACAAGTACCTCTGACAACCTTCACTCGAGCACAAGTCTGGCAACCTTCCTGGCACCGGGCTCCCTGGTTATAATTCTTGGGTCACCTGACCAGTTTCGCTAAGCCGCTAGGGTGCCACGAGGGCATGGAAAGTACTACGAAGATGTGCGGCGCGTCATCGTGGGCATCATCACCATCATCATCATGAATCATCATCATCACCATCATCATCATCATCGTCGCCATCCGCATCGTCATCCTAATCGATACGGTCTGTCATCGTCACAACTAATGACTAGAGTATAGAGCCGAATTGCTTTGAGCATTGCCCTGATGCGAGGAGCGAGATACTTGCCACTTATGGGCCAAATTGCACCTCCAGCGCTACCGCGTCAATGGATAACTGCCGCACAAACACCGGCATTGCCGGTTGCTGTACACGGAGTGACAGCTCGCTCGTCGTGAAGTCTCTTATACAGAATCATAGATGTACGCAGGCATCCATGCGAATTACTTTCGCCAGACGACGCAATCCGGGAAGCGGAGCGTGAAATCAAATGAGATCCACCACATCCACACAGGCCTCGGCTGATGACAGGCAGATCTTGAACTTGAGGAGGGCGAGTTCCGTTGAAGTTCTACGCGTTGCGTCTAAGCTGCATAATCCTGCTGAATTGACGCCATCTGCCGCAATCTTGCCACGAGGCCGGAAAGAAAGGCACTCTTCAAACCGAGTCCTTGCACTTCTATCTGCTTTCATGCGGACTCGCCCTTCCAAAAATGGACAGAAACAGAGAGCGGAGCACGGAAAGTGAGCCTAAAGCTTTAAGTCCACTTAAATTGATCAGCTGAGCGGCTTTGAATAAACTGCCTTCCTTGAAAATCCAGGTCGTCACCTTAGCGGCCAGGACGACTGGACCCTGGCTTCTCTTAACACAAGACGGGGGCTTGCTTCCTGCGCCCCTTGCGATGCATCAAAGTTAGATTTCTAACATAGTCTGACGAGTCACCGGCTGAGAATCTCAAGCTTTCCCAGTGACTGTCTGACATTCGAACTCTCAGTTCGTATCTCGCTTGGTTGCCTGCTCAAGCTTGACTGGAACTGTGCGAAAAAACACAATACACGACAGCCGCTTTCATGGCGTCGCCTCTGCTCAAGCCCTGCGCATCCAAGGATCCCAGGTTCTGCGTGACTCCGACACCGCCGCCGACGGCGCCGCTGAGACCACTTTGCACAGCTCCAAAGCCGCCGATACTTCCGGAAGCACCTCCAGAGTTGGATGCAGCTCCTCCCACCCCCCCCCCCAACTGCCAAGAATTCTTGGAGCCCACTCGAGCCTACTGCCTACCATGCCGCCATGCCTTGCCTCGACGCGGCTCGTTCCAGGGAATGCTTTGCTGTGGATGCTGCGCTTGCTGCATGGGGGCTGACTGCACACTGCTGTCACCGTACCTCGGCGTGCATTCTTCAGCTTCCAGTATCCAGCTGTGACGGCTTAGCCATTTGTGTACTAAGTGCATCATCTCATCGAAAATGTGACGCTGAAGCCACGGAATGCCGAGGCACAGTGACGGCGCGCTGCGTGGTGGCGGAGGGTCGAAAGGCCGGGACTGCTCCTGAATCCAGGTATGACTAATGACTATAGATTCATTTGCTTGTTAAGATCGGAACTTGCTTCTTTATGTTTGCTCGCTCTTCCGTCAGTCACCCCTTGGCACCTCATCGATGCCTCGACTCATGTAGGAGGTAGGCGTCGAGCTCTGCTTTGCAAAGAAGTTGCCGCTCGGTGCGTCGCGCACGGATCCTCCTGTACAACTTTGACAAAGAACACGAAGCACACTCCTCAACAACTGGCAGCAGTCATCACTGGCTCGGCACGTCTGACCTAGTGCGGAAAAATTGAAGGGGCGCGTCGTTCCGATGGCCCCCGTTCCTGACACTCTCACGGCTGAGACATCAAGACCCGTGGCAATGAAAACCGCAGACCAGATTAGGTTCTGACAAGAGGCCGAAAGGGTTCGGATTGATCGGTCCAAACAGGTAGTTGGCCGCATCCGATGAGCCCATGCCCCCGAAGGGCGCCAGGAGGGCAGACTGACCCTACAGGAGTCGCAATCTGCAAGAAGGACAATATGGGAGTGACAATGCAGTTAAAGAAAGCTGCACGCAATGAGCTGCGCGACATGTGAGCCTGGCTCTGAAGAGGCCTCGTCTGGAAAGGGTCTTGGGCCATCGGCTGGCCTGGAAGCGTGCTCCAAGCCGTCTTGAGGTGCGCAACATGCTTAAGAGCAAAGTGCTTAGTAGCCGTGGTAAAGCTGAGACTCGGCACAGCCATGTAAGCGAAAACACCAACATGTTGACCGTGCCTGTTTTCCATGCCGTCCCTCCTGCTTGCGGCAGGCTGGTGACGGTGGTGAGGGCCTGAGCTCACTGGCACCCGTTCTCTGTGCTATCTTCTAATGATTCGGAAGACACATGTAGCATCATGTAACACATGTAGCTGAACAGCCGCACTTGCAATGTGGTTAGAGTCGAGAGTGATCCCGCATGAAAAACATCAGGTATGCTCTGAGCTCCAGGCATCTGCCGGTCTGGACAGGCCTGTTTAGGGCTCTTTGGCCACACCACTGGCATCCGGGCATCCCACAGCGCCTGCTTGGCTTGCGAAGGAGCCGCTGGGCGACGGCGGCGCGATGGAGATTGACATCGGCAGCTGCTGGCCGCGGACGTCGCCTGGCACCGCTCACGGAAGATGAAATGCTCCAAAAAAAAGTGCACAAAGTGGCGAAGTGGCGTAAAGGCCAAGGGCAACGCAAACAACAAGCTTTCCCAAACACAAAGCCATGCCGAGCAGACGCGACACCGGGCTAAATGCCTGGCAGTGCCGCACGGACCGCGGCATGTCTGCCCTGCGCGCGCCACTGGAGATGGACAAAGTGCGACAACATTGTATGACGATGCACGGTGACACAGCATGTAGGCATGCGGCTGGCCAGGCATCTGGCCCGAGGCGAGAGTCTGTCGTCGCTCCACTCCTGTGGGCGAAACTCAGGTCCCAAGGAATGGACTTCAGAATTCACGTTTCAGTGTCTTTATGCCGCTCAACCACCAACTCACACAGGTAGCTACGAGCAGCCTTGTCGCGCGACAACCTCACCCCGTAGAACACGCTCCAGCGTGGTCTGTGAAACTCAAGCGGGCATGCTCCCATAGTTAGATTGAAAATTCATCCAGCTTGGTCTTGGTCATAAGCCAGTTAGAAGGGGGCATCATTCCTCGTTGGATCACATGGCGAGTCATCTGCAAGGATGCACAGTGCCAGATTGCAAGGCCGACAGCACAGGCCTGCCTCCAACGAATATGCAGAAAACCTGTCTGAAGATAATGAATGCAGTCCTCTGCGAATGTAAGGCGGAGCCAAGAGAAAACATTCTTCAGCAGAGCTGCTTTCTTGATGCCGTGTAACAACAAGATTTCGACTCAGAACTACGAGCAACCGTGCATCCACACGTCAACTCCGAGCTTTTCGAGGGCAACATTCCTACACATGAGCAAGGCGCTGACTGACAGGCAAGAAGCAACACAAAACAAACAAGAGCTGCTCAACAAACCATCCACCCGCACAGAACAACCGCACTTCACAAGCCACAGGAAAAGCTACACTCTGTGTAATCATAGTCAGTAATTACCCGAAACTTTGAAGATGAAGGGCGGCCGTGTTGAGCGAAGAAACTTCTGGCCCCTAGCTCGATCTCTCCGATTTCCAAGCCTCCAAAGGACTGCGAGCGTGCGGCCCCAATGAAGGTGCCGTCCGCCCGGACATGCACCCTGCCACGACTTGCAGGCGTTTCCCGCCACGAAGGCCTTCAGGACCCCCAGAAGGCCTGAAGTCTGGGCAAGACGGTGGATTCGTCTCGTGCCTGCACAGTGAAGTCTCTGAGCTTCCTTGCTCGTTACTCTGCTACTTCCCTGCTCATCCCGGCTCCCGCCTCCGATCCGCAGCACCTGATCGAGCCATCTCTAGCCGCATCAGGGCTCTACATGCAATTTCTAGAAGCTGATATGCTGACAGCGCTTTGTCTGCACCTGGCACTTGCACTCGACCCTGGTCGGCTGGCAGCCGCGTGATGTCGACATCGGCATCAGACCTGAGACCAGAAGTTGAAAGCTGGCGAAAAAAGGTCAGTGCTGCTTCAGGCCTCAACGGCTGGTAGCTCGCAGCAGTGCTCGCAGCAGCGCTTCTCTGAACGGGTGCTAGACCTGCCAGATCTCGAAATGTCCCTCGCGCGTTGTTGCCATCGTGCTTAGCGGTAGTCTGCTCTACATCCCTGTCATGATCTATCATATGCATGCTGCGACTGTGGTGTGAGGTCTTTCGGCAGGGACTCAACGAAAGCGACGCCACCAATTCAAGCCATGAGTATCCAAGGTCTGGGCAGCCGCAATGGCTTGCATCTTCCATACTATGCACGGGGCAATCATGTCTGAGATGATTCGAGTTCCGGTATAGTCTAGTGCTGCGCGAGTATGAAGTTTACAGGCCGACGAACAACTTGCAGCAAATTGGGTAGAAGAGTTTGAGACTGATGGATTCGTGCCTGCAAGCACGGGAGCATCTGGCTCTGCAGACTCCTCCTGGACCCGCTTGTTAAGGGGAGCCACAGGAGCCACGGGAGCCTGAGCAGCTCTGTCACCGGCCGCGGGTGAACCTGTCACGAGGGGGCATGGCTTCCGCTCTGGCAGTGACACAGACATGAGAAAACAGAGTCAGACAGAAACAACTAGCAATCTATCCTTGTAGGAGAGTCAACCCAATACCCCCAAACTCTAAACCCAAACCCACATCTTCCGTGCATCCATCCCTCCCTCCATCCATCCTGCCGTCCATGCACGCGTGCATGCATGCAAGCCAGCCAGCCAGTCAGCTGCGTACATACATGTATACAGATATCTACACACACATACACAAGTTTGACAAGCCTGCCGACATGATGTAAAGTTGCATCAATCAGAAGCCACCTGCTGCTGGTTGCACAACCTCAGCTGGAAGTTGACGGTCTTGCAGCCACCGCCTGCAGATCGCGAGAAGCTTAGCCATAAAACTGTCGGATATTGCGAATGAAAATCGCTTGCATTTGTGATGATGGCAACAAGCCTCAGAAAGCTGTGGTCAGTCTGTAGTTGCGGTGGCGAGCCAGCCTCAGAACCGCAGGTGAGGCGTCTACAGCCGTCTCTTCTTGGTGGACAGGCGACATGACTGCACCAGCCTGCTGAGCGGACGCTGGCTTCACAGACATGGAGTTGTCACCTCCTGCAGGAGACCTGACTTTGGCGCTGAGGCACGGGCAAGCCTGTTGCCATCACAAGTTCTCGATCGTTCTCGCACGTGCCAAGGCACTTCGCAGTGGAGGCGGCCGTCGAGCCAGGTGATGGGTTGAGTTTGTCCTGGGCTTATGGCAGAGCTGGCCACGGCAATCAGAGCGAAAGCTAAGTTGATGTCATGTCTTGCATCGAGGTGCGCTGCCTCAAGCCGGTATTGCAACAAGAGTATCAGCCGATATCGGCTGAAGCAAGAAAGACGAGCGACCGTCAGCCACTGTCGGAGGCGGCATCCTTCATCTGGTAGTAATCGATCGCTTCGCAACTCCGGCTTTGCTGCTTGGAAGGGCTGGTCATCGCGAGCTTTCTGCAAGCTGCAGGGCGGACTCTCCACTGGCCCACTTCCCGTTGCCTCTCGTGGCACAAGAATGGCCCCATCTCCTGGCTGAGAAGCAGATATCGTGCTGTGACTTGGATGCTTTGCTGACGGATCTCGCTAAGTGGGCCTTTGACAACTCCGATCTCTTGGGCCGCTTGTGTCGAAGTCAAGGTGGACGACAAAGACAGAGGACCGCGCACTGACCCTGCTAGGCCTCCACGCAATCACGAGGCAGTGGCGAACAGAGGTGCTACATGCTACTACATCAGCCAGTGACAGTCCTGCAGCGCTGCAAGTCACAGGGTCGCTATAGTCGGACACCTGCGTCGATCCCGACGAAGACCTGAGCGCTGCTCGTAGGGCCCAACATGCCCCATGCTGTCAAGGTACACAGAAGCTCTGAGTCAAGCGCTCAAGGCAGCTCCGAACACTGAAAGAGTAGGGGCGACCCGGCGCACAACCCTCCACGATGAAGAACTGCTCCTGACTTCTTTGAATTTTGCATATCCGGGAACAGCATGCATCTCTCATTGGAGCAGCATGCAGGAAGGCTTGATGGAGACTTGCGCAGCATGAATCTTTCAGTGCCTGGACAAGACCGTCTTTGAAAGGCAGTCTGACGTGGCAGCTGTGCTGTCGGATTCTTACGTGGCCTTGCCGAGCAGCAAGGGTGCAATACGCACAGCACAGTCGCAAATATTGTAGACACTCTGCTCATGGCGTGTGCATGCGTGCCATGCCTCCCATCGTCTCTGACTTCTGGCAAATTTCGAAGCAGAGAGTGTTCGGAGTACCGCTAGAAAGCTGCTCGAGCAGTTCCTCTGCACGTCATGAAGCTCGACCAAGCTTGATGAAACACAAATTGTCTTCGCTCCGGAACAGTGCCTCGTCAAAGAACCACGTCAACCTAATGGTGCCATCCGGAAGGGCTCGTGCCATGACTTCTTCGGGAATGGGCACGCTGTCCATCTTGGCCGCCTAGAGACAGGAACTCCAAGTCCTCTACAGCCCAAGTGACCTTTCCACCCTATGCCCGCGCCTGTGGCTCGGGTGATTGGGGCTGCGTCACCGCATGTGCCGCCGGTGCCGCAACCGTTTCCGGCGTGGGTGCCTGCGGTGAAGTGCTCTCTTCCCTGCTTGCCAGGTTGTCGCAGTCGGGCACGACCTGCATGCTTTGGATGGCAAGTGCACTTCGACGTCAAATCACAATTGTGGTCAGACGGAGGCTCAGGATCAAGCACTGCTGCCGTCCAGGCTGCCCAAGACCAGGGCATGCGGGGACGCCTGGACTGCGACCAGCTCACCACAGAAAGCTGCAGAGCCAAGCTGTGACAAATGCCTTGGACTCTTCCGCCACGGGACCGCCTGCTGCCAACGGCAAAAAGAACTGGGTCAAAGAACAGCTGACCGACGTCATCCTACATTATACCTCCATCAATTGCGAGCCGGCCTACACCAGCTGCAGCATCACCGCTGCAGGGCAGCTGCGAAGGGCTCGACGGCGATTCGCTGAATGCTGTGAAGATGGGTTTGACTGGAGGCTGGGGACTACCCAACTGTCCGGGCGAAACTGCAACGCCAGCCGCTTCCTCCGGGGATGTCGGTTTTGCAGGACTGCTGACGGGACTTCTTGCAGCAACACTTTCCTGAATTTCCTGTTCCGTCTGCTCGGGTTCAGCTTCCAGAGGCGTAGTGTGCAGTTCTGCTCCACCAGACAGAGCAACAGGGTCTGGCTGCTGGACCGGTGCTGTCACCACTTCATGGACTGGCAGCTGCTGAGGCTGTTGAAGAGGCCCTGTCGGCTGACTGTCAGATGGTCGTGGTGTGGGTAGTGAAACAGCTGGCAGAGCTGTCGTGAGAGTGTCGTGTGTTGCGTGTGTAGGCACGCTGGTCGGCAGCTCGCCGCTGCTTGCAATACATGTTGACAGTGATGCAAATGCTGCGGTGTTGGTCGGGTGTGGTGCTGTACTGGAAGGTACAGAGAGCTGGCCGTCAGGGCTTTGCCCGGGACCTGCATGATCCCGCTGAGCAGGCTGGGACGCAAGTAACCTGTCCACAGCACTTGAAGGAATCTGCTGAGCTGGGAGGGTGGCCAGTAAGCTTGGGCGACAGGGCTCGGCTGGTGTGTCTGGCGCAGCTGATTGCGACACTTCTGCCGACCTCACAGTGTGGTTCACAAAATCTCCACCGACGGCTAGCGCGGGTGACGTTGCTGCACCAGAATGCACTGTGGGTGACGCCCTCGGTAGAGTAGCGGGTTCAGGCGTCACTGCTTTCGCCATCTGTGCTGCCGGTGCTTGAGTGGAGACCTGCGCTGGCGCGACCACAGGACCCTCGACTTCTTTGGCCGGCTGGATGCTTAAGGGTCCTGGCATAATTCACAAACGTTCACACATAGAGCCCATCTCATCCCATCTCCATGGGTCCTGTGGCGGCGCTCAGAGCGCCTTCCAGTGCCTGCGCTCGCTTTCGAAGTGCATCGCGCTCCTTTAGAAGTCTGCCTCGCAGCGCAAGCGCAAGCAAGCCGGGCAGTTGCTTGCAAGCCAAAAGCCAAAAGCCAAAGGTACTGACCCAATGCATCTGCGAAACGAGGCCTTGTTCTTTGACATTCTCTGCCAAGATTTGCCTCAGTCAGAGAATATTACTGTTTCGACAAAAGCCTTTGGAGTGTCCAACAGTCTCCACACAAAACTGCAGGCCAAGTCACTTCTTGGTCTCAAGGCTTTGGGTGTGGTGTTTGCAAAGCTGAACCAACCTAGGGTCGGGGATGTGGCTGGACTGGGAAGAAGCACCGTGCAAGCCTCAGTCTTGCCAAGATGCTGTGGCGTGGAGAGGTGAGCAACGCTGTCGCCTACCTGTCGAAGTCACTGCGCATGGCACGTCTGGAGCATTGATGCTTATGTGACGCATTGAAGGTTGAAGTACCTCGCCTGGGTTGGAATGGGCGCAGACCTTTCCTTTTGAAGCCTTTGTCACTTGCAGTGGGGCTGTTCCGGACACATGAGTGCGTCTTGAGATCTTTGCATGCCTTCGCACACGGGTCGCTCGGAAAGCTCGAGCTCCAGGTCTTTGCTTAGGGTGCAGCTGAGGTGGCTCCCAGCGTCGTGGCTCTGGCATGAATTGGCCGCCGGTGGGAGGACCTGGAGTCAAGCGGAGCGGGAGCGGAGCCGTTTGCCAACTAGCTGCTGACTAGCTGTGACTAGCCGCCTGCGTGTGCCGGCCCTGTGCTTTGTGCGGCCATTTGCACACTTATCGGCCTCGGGCGTCGATGCAAAACACGGGTATTCTCTGATATGGAAGAAATGACAGCAACCTGCCTGGCCACTTGCTGAACGAGCTGTGGTCTGAAGGCATGCGCCTGTGACCCATGAGCCGCTGGCAGCCTCAAGCACGTCAAACTGCAAGACATGGCCACATGGTGTCCAAGCGCTTGGTGATGCAGCTGCGACTAAGCAGCGTCATGTGAGGACGGGCTTGAAGCCTCTGTGTTTGTGCGACCATTGGCTGCAGTGGTCTTTGGCAGTTGGCCACCATGGGATGATCCACAGGTGCCACGGACCTATCCAGTGTGTTTGCAAAAGTCGACTTCTCTGCAGTGGCTTCCCTGCACCGATCTGCCGCACCTTGGCTGAACGGCTGCCGAGCCGCGCATTACAGGCGGTGCGCCCACATATGCCTTTCGGACTCTTCGAGGTGTAAAGCACGGTTCCTCCAATGTTACAAGCGAAACCCCCGTCTCATTACCCAGCCTTTGCCGCAGGCCTCCATTGCACTTGCTGCGCCATTGCCCAGGTCCGGTGCTAAATCTTGCTACCCAAGACTCTGCCAGGCAGGAGGACTTGTCGTTTCTTTTTGTGTCTGCGTTTGTGTTCTTTCCCTCTGCCGTCATCCTCCCTTACTGCTCTGCACTGGCAAGCAGGTTCTGAGGTGTCACCATAGTAGTTGGCTTTTCAACAAAGACATCCGTGCGGTTTCTGCTCAACGGCCGATCCCAATGGGCTGCAACGCCTCGGCACCTCAGGCAGGAAAGGTCCTGAAGCATTAGCACAGTCAGCGCATCAATGCAGAGGAGTATGCGAGAGAAAGGGAGAGAGTCGTGTGAGAGAGAGAGAGAGCCTCAAATCCAAGACCTGCCGGGGTAGCCCGTGCATCAACGAGTTGTCCAGCTCCTGCCCAGCTCTTGGTGGGCAGTTCTTGTTTCATCACTCATTCTGTTGCTCGTGCCTTGTTTATCGTTCTGGTGGGCTTGGCTCTTCAGTGTTGCTCGCACTACAGCGCTGCATCGTTCGAATCGCATATTCTCGCAGTACCCTGTCGCTGCTTGTACCGTGGTCTCTACTGATCTGCTGCATCGTAGTTGTAGCACGAGTGACTACTTTAACTCTGACAGCACCAGCGGCCGTGGTTCTGTCGTTGCTACTGTCGTGGTCGACGTTATTGCCGCCTCTCACATGTGTGTCACCGCACTACGAGTACGCCTGATCGGACAAAGCAACTTGCTGTCTTCATGCTTTCACTCACATCACACTGATGAGGACTATGATGCTTTGAATACGACTCTCAACAGCAACAACAACACCAGCAAAAGCACGCGAAGAGCAACACCAGTGATTCCAGTGATAGCAAGCTTCGACATCAGAATTTTCATCCGAATCGCACTACACTTTCTGCACGCGCTCGAAGGCCTCGCCGAATGAGACGAAGGCAGACATGGCCATGGCTGACACGCGGTCCACCTCAAAGATGTGACGAATGAAGCCCTGAAGTCTTGGGACCCAAGAAAACAGTGAGCTCTGAGCGATTTTATGGCTGGTGTTGACCCGAGTCGACGTCCACTCACGAAGCTCCCGATTCGCCCGATTCCCCACGTGTTTGTTTTCATCACGGGTCTCACCCACCTGATCGTCCATCTTCCGGGTGAGAACGGGCATAACTTGCGTGTGCGATCTCTCCTGGCTAAGCAACCCCTCGCGGTCCCGTACTCTTCACATCCCAGCAGAGCAGCAGAACCCACATGATATATCTACACAGTTGTAACATGTTGTTTCTCATTCGTTTCATACATATACATACACACATACATGCATGCATGCATGCATGCATGCCTACCTACCTACCTACCTACCTACCTACCTACCCACCTACCTACCTACCTACCTACCTACATACATACATACATACACATGTCTTTCTTTGAAGATTTATGAAGCATGGAGATGTGGATGCACGTGCACAGCCTGGATGTTTATGTAAGTGTACATGTATGTGAATGTGTGTATATATACACACATATACATGTATGTAAATATGCGTATATGAATATCTGTATATGTATGTATGTTTGTTTGTCCGCCGACACGGAGGCGGCGCACAGCCGTAGCCAAAGTTGCGCAGGCATAGCTTCCAGCGTCCTGCTACGTAGATGTTTGAACCAACTTGGCCTCCGATGTCGCACTTCACCGGGACACTCCCACATGAGATGCGAAGAAGGAAGGGAGTTCACATGCGCTCTCCGCAGAAAGCCGACGTCAGCAGACGACATGCTTTTGCATCTCATCATCTTTCTTTTCTTCCTTATCTTGCCTAGGTCGCTTATGTATATGTTCCAATGCCAGAAAAACCCCGCCCTCCACAGCGCGCCTTTCTTTACATACATCTATATGCAAATACGGAAATAAACATTACAAATTGGACCGGCGAAGACCCCAGATAGCTGGGAAAGCATCAGAAGGCTCATGGTTTCGGACATAACTGGTTGTCGAATTGGTCATAACCAGGAAGGTCAACCAGTTGGCCAGTTGGCTCTTCCTTTTTGTGTTGTTGCCCCCAGGTAGTTTGGCACGTGCAGCGCAGCTTTAGGCTCGGGCTTGCCGTCCCACGAATTGCAATGTCTGGGCTCACTCTTCTTCACATGCCTCAATTAATTGCGGCTTGTGGCGCAATTTGAACTCCTCTCGGCCTTTCCAGTCTTTCGGGTCACTGGGCCGGGTGTTGTCAAGGTCAAGAAAGTTCTACCCCTGACCGTGACAGTCGATCCCTCACTGTGCATCTTGTATGTCACTCTGTCTGTCGCCGGTCAATCGGGACATTTGCATTGGAAAAATCTTGGAGGCTTCGATTCGAAGATCGAGCATTTCCTTTTTCTGCTTTGACGTGCCGGATCCATTCAGCGCATCCTATGTGTAATCATGAACAGTTCTTGAACATTCTTCATGCCCTGTGCCGAGCAATGAGGGCACCAATCTGCTGAAGATAGTCAAACGAGCTGTCACGCAAATCCGACATGCGCAGCAAACCCCCAGTGCACCAGGCGGTTGCTCCGTTCCCGACAACACATCAGTCAAACAACTCGCTGCCAACGTCGACGCGTCTACAACGGCATGCGGAATGACAGTCGGTGTCAGGTACACTAATGTACCGTGTCGCAGAATCGGATGAGGGTTTCTAGTCGAGTCAATCAAGGCAAGATAGTCTCGGGCCTCTACGGTCCAAAAGTCCTGCAACAACAAATCGGCAATACTGACCAGCGGAAACGGCATCCCAGTGCACACGTAGAACTGCACGCTCAAGGACTGACCGATGCTACAGTCAAGCTGCACCATCTTCCTGCCTTGCACATCCAATGTCTTCCCAGACAAATTTCGAAGTGCTCTCATTCAAGTGCGCGGCAGGATATAGCGGCGCAAGCCATTCCGGTCAACAGCTTGCGCAAGCTCCACTGTCGAACCGTATCCACGACTTATCGACCAATCACGCTTGCCCGTGAAACTCAATCAATCTGTTATCCAACTGGATCAACCTCTGGCAAATTTTTGGGAGGCGCCGGAACTCCGGCACTCAACACGCCGATCAACAAGCATGCTCGATTCGGCAGTATCCCAGGCTTCGCACTTCGGATGCTCGATCGGGGCGCATTTTGATCCTGCACCTCGACAGTCGCAGCTGCAACATGTTGCGACGGTTCACAGTTGGTGGCTTCTTGCGTCGCATTCGTTTGGGAGCTGGACGCCATATTGGAGCTGGGCTGCTCCGTGCCCCACCAGTCTTGTGAATTCCAAGACGTGTCTTCGTTCCAACCACTCCAGTCGTTATCGAACCTATTCCAGTCACTGGACCCATCATCAAGCGAACCTATCCACTCATGACTCCAATCACGATTACTTCCATGAAGACCAACCATCGTACCATTCCATTCCTGTTCCCGATTCCAAACCGGATTCACTCTCCTTGTTGAATCCCTTGTTGGCTATCATCATCGGTCACCGCCGACGTTTCCCCCTAGCATTCTCTACTCCAGCGGCTCGGGTCACCAAAAACAAAACGACCTTGTCCGTTGGGGTTCCTTGCACTCCTTTTCCTTGTCCTCTCATTCCTTGCATCCTTCTCTCTTTCCATTTCTTGCCTTTGTGCGTTCCTTTCCCTGGGCCTCTTCCTTGGTAAATACCTTTTCTATACTACCCTTTTCCTCCTTTCCTTCCTGTCTTTCCTTTCAATGCTCCAACGTCCATAGCTGCTGGACCATCGTCATTCCTCATGCTTGGCAGAGTCAAATGTCTGCTATTGAGATAGCTGGACACAATCTCCATGACTTCACCGAACGTTTTGATGTTACGAACTTCCGAACATTCAACCATTAAGATGCAAGTGCTGCCGGATTGGGCCAGTCATGTTCTGCAGAAACAGTGCGTGTGTTCCGGAGGTCATTGCCCAACGGCCTGCCAGTCGCCTTCTCGTGACGATTCTTCAAGATGCTGAAATCACTCAGATCATTCTCCAGTGGATCACTTCTCAGCTTGCACGAAAGGATCTCATTCAGGAGACTCGTGGCTCTCGCTCGCGCAGGCACTGCAAACTGACTGCGCAATCTTCCCCAAATCTCAAACATTCTGTGTGCTATGTCGAAGACTCGCCCAGGCGGTACCGTCAGTGATCTGTGCCAGCATGCACGCCAATCCCGTGAGGAGAACAGTAACAGTTCGTTGTTTTGTGCTCTAGTCTGCTGCACGTCAAAGGCTTCACTCACGCCATCAGCGGTCACCCTCTGGGAACCTTCGACATCATCCATCATTCACTGCGCAAAGGGTTTGTGCAACCTAACATACCGCCTCAGTTGCCATAACCAATCTTCCCTTGTCTCCAGCTCACCGCGGTGCTCTGTTGGTGGGAACAGTTTGATCTCACCACCAGTTCCTGTCACTCCGAAGCCCACTACCGTTTGTGGCTCATCAATTGCCCCTCGATCAAGCCTGGGCCAGCTCCTCGCAGTGTTGCATTGCGGTACCACTCCACCATTTCGTCCAAGCAGACGATGCGACGTCGTTCTGGGGCATTCTGATGATGACCATCCCGCCAACTCATGCTCACGGCCTTTCCCCATTGATATGGCTGACATGGTCAGTAAACTGACGATTAATGTAGTTGTCAAGCTTCAGGCGCTGATTGACAGTGTTCTACGCCCATGCCCTCCTCGCGACGTCATTTCTCGACTCTACGCGATGAACGCGACGTTCTCCTTGCCATTCTCCTCAAGCACTCCTTGCAGTGTCACTGCAGTGACTTCCGCAAGGCACTCATCATACACGCATCCATGACATCCTCCTTGGCACAGGGGAGGCTCTTCCATTCCGCGTGCCAGCCCCCTTCAAAACCTTC